GAGCACTGGCTTCAGGATCATCTAATCCCACCTCTTCTATTTCTACTCTATGTGACTTTGACTTACTTGCTTCAGTTCTCTGAAATTCAGTTTCTTCATTTTAAAAAATGGGAATAAAATCTAAATTATAAAACTCTCATAAATTTTAAGAGTGGAATTTACATAAAGCACAAAGTCTAGTACATAGTAGGTGCCTAATGAAAGTTATTAGTTATATTCCTCTTTCGGCTTTTGCTACTAGAAAGATAAGAGCCAAATTGGAATTTAAAAGTTACCAGCCTGCATATTGTAATTCAATTATAATATAATAAAATTAAGTAATTAAATTTTAATATATCCTTTCCTTGATCTTATTGTCTTTATTTTCCCAATTCTTATTACTTATTGACCTTGTTTTTGTTTTATACAAATGCTTTTATTGGGGATTTCCTCAAATTCTTTGCAGAACCAGGTGGATAGACTCTGATTTCAGGAAAAATGGGTCCTTAAGACTTGTCAAATTCCTGGGTAAGTTGGGTCTTCGAGTCCCTTGGAACCCCAGTTTCCTTATCTGTAGAGTGAAAGTAATAATAAACCTACAAGCTATCTTACAGTGCTAGAATAAGAACCTATTACTGAGTATTTTTCAGAAGAACCATTCTTGAGAATTTTGCCTAAATTATGAAAAGTCTAGCTAGAAATGTTTATATTAGCCTTGAAACTGTGCTCCAAATTGTGTAGGCACCTCTGTCTTTAATTGAACCTAGGACTCATGAACAGGGCCAAGCATGTATAGGGAGGTGAGAGAATGGCCATGGAATTCTACTTCCATAGTGTCCTGGCCTAGCAGAAGGCTTGACAGCCTAGTATCTGCTGATTCATGGAGATAAGTTGCCTCTGCCTATCAGACATGGGAAGATCCAACAGAATGAAAACAGAAAAATGAATATGCAGTTAGCTAGTGGAACACAGCTAAGTACAAGTGAATCTGGCAAATGCAACATGAGAAGAGTAGACCACTAAGCCCCCATGTCACAGGAATTCAACGGGGATCTCTTTTGAGGCATTTTTGTTTGGACTGAAATGAACAAGGAGAAGATGACATATGAATCCAAGAGACAAAGAAGATTTAAGTATGGATATGTAAGCAGAGCACCACAAGAAAGACTCAGAAAACAATCCCAATGAGCAGAAATCACAGAAAAAAAAATACACAGGACAGTAAGATTTAAATCAGATTACTTAATAAAAGCTAGTGTTTAAATGGAAAACAATGTACATTGTTTGTCCTTGAAACGTGACATGCACTCCTTTTTCAGAATGCCAAAGCACTCCACAGCAATTGCCCATATCTGACAAAGCCCCGTCACCCTTGAATCCCAGAGGTCACTGTTCCTATACAATATTGGGAGGCTTGATTGACTAGATGTCACTGAATGTAGCAGTCACTTGGAATAGAAAACCCCAGAAAATAAACCTATGAAGGAAGAGGCAGAATTTGAGTTAGGTAAGGGCCCACCTGCTCAATAATGAAATAATTGCTCAAGGCACGTTCTTCTGTAATCTTTTTTGATGGAACAACTATTCTGGGGCCCTACTTCTCTCAACGCTGCCTCAACATTTGCACATAATTTCAGGACCTCTTAAAGACGCAGATTCAGAAGCTAGACAGTCACTTCGCTAATGTCACAAAAATAGATTCAATTTTACATACATCAGGGTGATTTCAGAAGCAATTTCTACATCTTCAGTGTAAGCATTACTTACATTTTCCTCCCTTCGAATCTAATCCAAGTGATTCCATGGGGCATTTTTAAAGGTACCTGATGCATTTTAGGGCATTCTAAAACAAATCCCCAGAGTGTGTTTATAGCTGCAGCCTGAAGATACTTGATGCATAGAAAGAGTGCTTTTACATTTCAAAGAAATGTAAAATTTTATAATAATCAAGTATAGTAAGTCAAATAAAATTTGATTTTTGTGCCTTTAAAAAAGCAGTATCATTAAAATGAATGTATATATAAACATGTATGTGTGTTTATATGTCTCCGTGTATTTATACAGACATGTATGTATATGTCTGTATGCATTTATACATCTGTACGTACATATATTTGTGTATGTGCATGTATTTCATATTACACACATATGCACACATACAATCACGTCTCTGACTTTAAAATATCTAATTACATTCTATTGGATATTATTCCTCTTTTTTTCTGGCTAGCAAATCTTGGCCTTGGTCATTTTCATCTTAAGGGGCTGTGTTTTGGGCCTTGATGAAGAGTGTGGTAATATTTTCCTTTGAAGCCCAAGAAACCAGAGTTACTCAGGTTGTTTTCATGTGTGATCAGAAGGCTTGAGGCCAAGTACCTACAATTTTAGGATCGTAATGATTGCCATGCACCTTTGGCATTCAAAGTCCTCCTATTTACAAAAGGGAAAAATATTCCCAAGAAGCTGGCCTACACAGGAAAGGTTTGGCATGCACAGGTACTACTTGGCTAATATTTTCAATCAGCTCTTCTTGCAGATGATCTTCTCTACCCATGAATCTAAAGCAGGAGAGCCATTGACTTTGCAGGGCAACCCGAGGCTCTGAGGACTTGGGGTGGTCCTTTGTTCAAAGACTAACCAAACCCATTTCCTGTGAGTCGCTTCTCTATCTGGCATATATCAACATTCCCTTTCCTGGCCCCAGGGAATGCATGGTTCCCAGTGATTCAATTACCGAGACAGAATCATTGAGAATAGAATGAACATAGTCAGGCAGACCATAGTTTTTCTTCCAAGAAAAATAAAAGTTAAATATTTCCTCAAAAAATAATCAGTATCCCATTTTCTATCTTCCCATCTGGGAATACCCACCAGGGCACATTTTTATATTTATCAAGAACAGCTTTTATATGTCAAGTATAGAAAATTTTTATATATCAAGAAAAGTTTTTATATTTTATTTTTACATTGAAAAGTAGTCAGATTTGCTTCAGCCTCAAAGAGTGTGTTTATATAAAATTAAATGAATTCTGACAGGTAACTATACCTTTTTTTTTTTTCCCTAAATTGGAAATAGGTTAAAAGCCATTACCTAATCTTAAGAAGTGCTCAAATTTGGCAACACAATAATAGGCAAAGCAGGTATCATGTGTCTATTGATATAGTACAAAGGGAAATATACAACATTATCTTTGAGATATTTTTGGCAAAATGTTTAAACTGAATATAATCATGATGGAAAAAAATCAGATAATTCTGGGTTGTAAACCATTCTATGGACAACTGCCCCAGATTTTGAAAAAAACCATGTGAATACCCTGAAAAAATGTAAAATTCACATTTTACATAAAAACAGAGATAAAGAGACAAGAAAACCAAACATGATGTGAGCACCTTGATTTGAATCCCAATTTACAATACCCCCAATTATACAGAACATTTCGGGGATATTGAGGGAAATGGGCTATGGGCCGGAATAGCAGATATTAAATCAAGGTTGCATTTCTTGGATGAGATATTAATTCTATTGTGGCTGTGTTGAAGATTTGTCCTGGTTATTAGTGGACACATGCTGAATTCTCTGGAGGTAGAGTGTCAAATGTCTGCAACTGAACTTCTAAATGGCTTATCAAATTGTGTGCACAGTGGGAGAAAAAGGAAAAGCGCAAATGTTGCAGAATGTTAACAACTGGCGAATATAGGTAAAGGATATGTAAGTATTCATTTTGCTTTTTCTTAACTTTTTTGGGAGTTCAAAGTAAACTCTCTTCCCAAAGCTAGTTCGTGAGCATTTGAAAATAGCCTCCCTTAAATGTCTGTGTTCTTAGCTAGTGTGCCTGAAGGAGTTATCTGAACGACTACCGAAGTCTAAGTCCTCGTTCTTCGCCCTCCCTCTCATCTCCAAGGAGCTTTGACTCTGTGGATAAGGGTGGGGCCCACATACACGTATTCTGAAAACTTCCCAAATGAGTTCTGTGCTGTGCATGAGCTTAGGAATTATGGGCCTGAATTATTCTTAGATCCTGGAAACATCAGAAATGAGTTGTGTGTCTGTGTGAAGTTGAATCAAACACACTTAGCTTTGGATACTTTCCCTGTGAAATGGGACCGTTAATGCTAAATATCTCACAGGTCTATGGAGAGAATACTATGAAAGATAGTGCCTGCAGTGTAGAAAGAGGCAAATAAATGTTTGTTTCCTGTCTTCCTTCATCTTTTCATAGATCCACATCATCTCAGATGGACCATACCACAGTAGTTTTTATAAAATGTCATTTCTTCCATTTGTAATTTACATAATGTTTGAAGAAAATTTGTCTGTGATCATATCCTTTTAGATTTGGAGTAGAAGCTGGGAAAGCTCTCTTGAGTCTGATCACTAAGTTATCCTTATAGAATATCAGCCTTCAAGTTCTTCTTTGACTGAGAGTTAACCATGCATTAGCTTGGACTCTACACAAGGACCTAGGCAATGTTGACTAAATATCACTTGGAATGTTGGCTATGGCTTGGAGCTGGCCAAAATTTGGAAGGTATGGTTTCCAATCTACACATGGAATTCTTCAGCCACAAGATTTTGGGAAGGTTATTCCTCTGAGCCTCAGTTTCCTAAGCACTCAAAATGGAGATAATAATAATCCATGACCCACCTACCTTCCATGAATATGCAAAACAGTTTTGAAAATTTTCAGTCAGTCAATTCAGTGCAGCGTATTTTCTCCTTAAGGGCATACCTTTTCCTCCCTCTTTTGTTTTAACTATTACTAGTTTCACCTGTTTGTCTTTCATCCACAAGCAGTTAGAAAGACTTGCTCCCATTTCCATCTGCACAAACACTCCTTATTGCCTTAGGATTGGCTGCCTCAAGGCTGAGCCAGGGAAAACCTGCATTCTGGACCATCCCAGGGAAGGATCCCGACACCTTACCTTACAGCACCTGACCACTGTGAGGGGTCCACAGCAGAGATATCAAGGCCAAGTTGGACCAAGGCTATCTCTTCCTCTTAGTTGACTCAACTTACTAAATCCATTAACATCCTGGGAACTAGAGGAGAAGCCTTCATCGTTGCGGCTGGTGCTGAGCTTGGTGGTGGGTTTGTCAGCTGAGGCCACAGGTCCCATCTCTCTCTGGGCTCCACTCTGTGTCTCCTTCTGCTTCTTGGCCAGCTTCCTTTGGGACATGTGCAAGGGAAAAAATCACAGTCAGATCATGCCAGTTGCATTAAATCATTGGGAAGATAGATTGCTCGCCTTCCAATTCCTCATCCTCAATCCCCAGACTTTGTTAATTCTCCAAAAATAGTTAAGGCAGGCCCTCCAGTGTCAAGGTGGAGTAAATACAAGGCCTCTTGAAACCATTAATAGAGTTCTTTCACTAGGAACTGTGAGATTCGTGGTGTCTGATTCCCAACAACAGGGACATTTTACACTTGAGATTAAAACAGGAAATTGATGAGAAGTTACGATGTATCCCCAACTCTCCTTTCAAAGGGAGGAAGCATTCAGGCTAGTTCTTCTGTTCTCAGGTCTCTGAATGAGATTGAAAATAGAGTCTTGCCTTTCTCAGAGACTGAGATAATAGAATAACCTACCAAATATTGATAAATTGAAGAAGGAGCTGATGGTTAGTAGTGGGTGATGGTAGAGGTTAGTCTTATAGCTCAAAGGGGAAAAGCTAAAGCTGAACTTGATGTATAGATAGTTCAATGAGAATAGCACACCCTCGTATCCGGATGGTTATTCATAATAACAGTATAGAGCAGTACAAACTTTGGCATAGATCTGAACCAGCTAGAGTTTAAAAAGCACCCAGAGGCCCAGGATCATGGAAGTAGAACAGGTGATTATGACACCAACCAATGAGGTTTAAACTATCATCTTTGGCATCAGACAGTTGTGGGTTCATGCCCTACCTCTGCTGTCTGTCAATTGCATGACCTAGGGAAAGGTCATTAATCTCTTTAGGTCCTCAACTCTTTTTGTGTACCTTGTGGCAAATAATATCAATGCATAGGGTTGTGAGGATTCAGGATAATACATAAAACACACAGAGTACAGTGCCTGTCACATAATAAACATTCAACACATATCAGTTGCTATTCCTATTACATCATTGCCAACTGAACCAACTACATTCTAATGTTGGGATTCGCTCTCCAACAGCCCTAAAGTAGAGTCTTATCTCTCCCTGAATTATATCAAGGTATAGAGACTTTGATTGCTCCTCAGGGAACTGAAAGGTTAAAGAGTTCTTTTATGGATTTGAAAACTACTTCCCTTAAACTTTAACTGATAGGTCTTAGATGTTTCATTAGAGATATAGTAATATGACTAAACTTTCTTTCGTATAACATGTATTCAAATATTTCTAAAAAGCAAACATGAGCCCTTTGAGTTTTCCCAACATATATGCACCTAAATATAGTCGTTATACTTCTATCATGTGGAAATTTATAGGTTAAACATTGTATATCTTGAGGATAAATTTCTTTAGGTCTCTTGTTCCATTCTTCACATATCCTGGTTTCAAATTCAGTCTTGGCTATATCTAGCTAAACACAAAAAGGATAGCTGTCCCAGGGAGGTTGAATTCAGTGCAATGTAGGGAATGATTTTCTAATTTGAGCCTACCTGATCCTAAAATAGGCCATTCAAGAGGTAATAAATTTATTGAGTTATTAAAGAAAAGGATAAACCTCCACATCAAAGTAGTTTAGAGGAGATCATCTATGACCAACTCCAGCTTGATAATATCCTTTTAAAAGCATGAGTCCTATGACCAAGGTGTAGATTGCACAGAAGTACAAAAGGTACACTCGCATGAGATTACTGCTGTAATCTCAGCATTCTGGGAGGCTGAGGCAGGAGGAATGTGAGTTTGAGCCCATCCTGGGCAACAAAGTTGGATCGTGTCTCAGAAAAAGTTTTTTTTAAAGGCTGGGGAATGAGTTCAGGGAAAATTTTCTTTCTCCAGCATCATACATACATGGGAAAGAAAAAGACTGCTGGCAAAGGTGTGAAGAGCAGAGGGGACTCCAAGACACGACATCGTGACGAGGGAGCTGTTTACCATCCACGAACCCAGAAAGACACATAGAGGAAGTGGTAATCAGAGCCACAGGGCCGAGTTGTGAGAGAGAGCCCACCCAGACAGAAGCAATGGCTTTCTCTCGAGGGGTCCAGACACAGCCAGTCCCAGACGAGTTCACAGAAAGGTTATCAGAGGCCGAAGTACCCTGACTGAATCCTCCCCCATCCCTCTGGCCTTCTACAGCAGCTCTCATTAGCTGATCCCAATTAAAATCCAGATGTGGCCAAAGACTCCATTGATGGAATCCTTATAGAGCATGCTGTGAAAGCAGAAAAGAGTAGAGAAAAGTAGAGTCAGCTTGGATCCAGGAGTCCAGACCAAGAAGAGGAAAGCTTTTGCATCCTTCATTTTGAACACAATTTGAAGACAAATGCAGCATAAAATGGAATTCTTCATTTATTTATTTTTAGAAACTTGGCCTAGGGAAAGAAGGGCACTCATGAATAGGAACACATGTTTTGAGTATAATGCTTTGGGCACTGGCATACGATTGTACTAGTGAAACTATTCCAGGCAGATAGAAGAACAAGAAATGAAACATCAAATCAGCTGAGCCCTTTCTTACCATTGGTAGGGCCATCAACAGGCAGGAAGAATGCCAATGAAAGGAAACTGAGTAATTCTGCTGCTGATGACATTTCAAAATTTTATTCTTCATTTATTATCAAAAGGAGTATGTTTAAAAATGTATATGTGACCTTCTTAATCATAAATTTGAAAAGAAATACAGCAGATTCATTGCCTCTATCCTAGCTCTGCTCACATTGCCCCAGTAGGAAATAAAAGGAAATTCGATAAGAGAATTAACTTTAAAACTATAAATGCATATCTATCAGAGGCTTTGATATTTCCTTTGGGGAAGAACTTCTATCCAATCTCATTCTGTTCTGAGTAAAAGAACATGGAGAGAGCTGTCTTAGGCACAAATTGTTCATTTCCAAAGGAATACTAAAATAAGTCTCACTGCTTCTATGAAAAATGGCCTTTTATAGACATATTTGGGTAGCTCTGAATAGTTGTATTATAAACAGAAAAGTGGAGCCTCTTCAAAACATAGTTAAAAATTAGAAAGCTTAGTTATTAATACCAGATATATGATATCTATATTAGTCAGCTTTGTGTTACTATAATGAAAGCAATTAACTTATGAGGAAAAAATACTCATTTTGGCTTATGGTTCTAAGGGTCTAGTCCTGTATTTGTTACCTACATTAATTTGGGCCTCTAGCAAGGGAAGCACATCATGTGATCCACATGGAAGAACAAATTATGCAATTCATGAGCTAATGAAACACAAGGAAATGGAGCAAGGTCTGTAAATCCTTTTTCAGGATATGGCTCCCAGGAGGCCCCACCTCTTAAAGGTTCACTGCATCTCCCACTACTACCATTCTGGGGACCAAGCCTTTAACACATGGAGCTTTGGGGGCCACCCACCTAAACCACAGCAACGTCCTCAGAATTTATCTCATGGCTGACAAATACTGCATGTTCATGTTGATGATGATGTTACATAGGTGTTTTGGAAGTAGGTAAACACAGCTACAAGGTAGAACTAGAGGAGATGTAGAAGAAAATAAAACACAAAACACAGTTTGGGGATCTATATTCTTCCAGAATTCAAAATTTAACTATCAAAAATGCCCTCAGTTTCCCAGGAAAATGGCTATTTATTCCATTATCAAAAAGTTTAATTTACCATTCCTTTCTTTTTCCTCAGGAGAGGGGAATATCCAAACCGGCTAATAGGGCATGTAATACTTCAAACTAAGGTCCAGGCTTCAGTTTATCCTTATCTTTCACACATACCCCTTTAGGAAACAACTATCTCTTGCCATTCCGCCCCATCCCCTAATTCTCAGTGCTCCTTATTCCTTAATATCTCCCTATTCTTCTCCACTAGCTACCTCCTCTTCATCCTTCAAGGCTCAATGTCATTCAAATGTTACATCTCCTTTGAGGCATCCCAGTGCTCCTCCAATAGAATGATAATTTCTCCTCTTGGCTGACTTATTCATTGAACAAATATTTATGGAGAAAGTGTAGTATTAGTCTCTGCTAAATGTAAGAAGACCATATCTTCTTGACCTTCATGGAAGCCAGAGACTAACAACAAAGAAAGACATTAGACAGGCAAAAGCAGAAATTAAAACAATATGTTTATGAATACCAAGAAGAATATTTAGGGTTATAAGAGAGCTAATACCTGGCTTGAATCCTGACAGGAAGATCAGGGAAAGTTTAGGTGTCCTGTCAGCTAAGTACTTGTCTATTCACGTTTCAGTGATTCAACTCTCTCACCCACTAAAGCAAAGATCTCTTGGGAGAAAAGCTTTTGACTCCTTGGACCTACTCCAGTTTTTGCTGAGTGTCAGGCACATAGCCAGCGATCAATGAATTTGTTGCACAAATTTATATTTAAAAGTCTATGATCTGAAGTTTAGAAGATTGTCATCCTATTCTAAACACAAATTATAACCACTTTAAAAGTAGATATGTACAAGGAAAGAATGAAAAGCCTGCATAAAATCAGTTTGTGCCCTGTGATATATGTACCTAAGAATATTTTTGGTTAATAACTCAACATTTCCTTCTTTGAATGTTTGTAGAATTAATGTAATATTCACAGAACTCAGAAATTTCACAACCCCAAATCCCACAGAATATCAGTAGCTATAGGATACTGAAAAAACTTATTAATATAGTTATGTAACTTATGGGATGGTCATATAATTTCTGGAATTCTCAGATCCTTCATGACTCAAGTGCTTATGACTTTCTGAATTTGGAATTACTTCTCTAGTTGTTCTGAGATTCTTGCCAATTGGGCCACACTATTTCACCAGCAGGGAGTACCAAAGAGAGCATACTTAACCTGTCTATTTCTCTAGGGGACATTTCCAGAGCTGAAGAATAGTTTAAGACATAACAGCCCAAAGCTGACTGCTCTGACAGGTGGCGCCATGTGACATAACCACAGTCTTGGCACCCTTCCCTCCAGTGAATTGCTGTGAGGTCTATTTGACCTTTGCTTGTTAGCTGAGCTAGGGGCAGGCAGCAGAGGACATGACCGTGATAGA